TGTACAAACTGAATGTGGTAGGATTATCACCACTGAGCTCCTCCACTTATAGTCTCTATCACTTTGCTTTCAGTTTAAAACAATCATTAGGCATGCAGTTACATGCGTCGCTTTTGGTTGAACAATAAGGTTAGAAGCGAAAATTGAAAGGTTCGGTGGACTAATGATGCAGAGAAATTGAGAAGCACGAAAGCCACTGTTTGCGACGCCTAGTTATATTACCCAGTGTCTCTGACCATCGGTTCTGATAGTCCTGAGGTCCTCATCCGGAGCCTAACGGGACCTATGTGACCCCCATGCTAGGTCTTAGTTTGACTACCCATGTCTTCATTCCACCCTGTAGCTGCCTCGGCAAACATCGCGCGCTGTCGCTGTGGTGACATGCAGAACACACCCTAGCCAACGTAATCTATGGAGGTCAACCACTTGCTCCGGTGGGCGACCGCGAACGCTTAAAACTTCGAGCCAAACTTCAGCATTGCGGCTCCGGCTGCTACACCAGATTCGTGCAATGCTGGCTTCAAGAAGTTGAGGAATACGGGTGAAGTCTTCACACACCTGAGTAAACTATGGACTTTCTTCTTTGTCATTAAGATGCTGTTTGGCACAGCCTGGAGCCAGACACTTGAGATGGATGATAAATGCAATATACGCCTGAATTCGTCCACTGGTTCCATAGCGTATCATTACGGTCAATCAAAATATTATTAAATGACGATGCTCGGCCCGTTGCACGCTTTCTCCGAAAAGACGTTTTCTCACAAGCGCAATCAAAACGTTGGGCGACAATGAAGTGCTACTTAGCTCTCTTGACGACCGCTAATACTGTAACAGTAACACGGGTCACTAACTACAAAAAATCGTCTCAGTTGGCAGCGGGAAGTCTGGCTGATGACAGAAGTAACAATGAGTGTCTCGAGAAAAAGAAGAGTAACTGGAATAGGCTTTTTATGACGAAGTTACTAAAAACATGTACATCGTTCAATCTCTACAGTAGGCATGGAATTCGTCCAAAAACTTCAGATACAATTTATGCTCCTCTGCGGTACAATAATCTTGCAACTGATCTTGAAAACTCGCGTCCAACTGTCGTTCCATCAAGAGCTGCATTGTATGGTCGTACATATTCTAAAACACGAAATATGGAGAACATGAAAAATGCCACAGCAATAAGCAAAAAAGCTAACATGGCAAAAAGTGATCATATTGAAGTGACACCATAGCACATCAGGACTGATAAGCAAAAAACCAAAAATGTATGGCACTAAACGAAATCAGAGCGTCAAGTTATTATGAAGTGTCACTACTATCTCCCATTCGCACGACGGCTATCAAATGCACCTACTAATTGAGTGAATGTACATCAGAGAACAAGGGAGTTGATGGTGACACCTTCATCACCCTTGCATATTTCAAGAGCGCATAAAAGATGGAGGCAGGTTATAAATTGCCTGGGGTTAAATGAGAATAGACCAAAGTGACTCTTCATTTGGTAGCTGAAACTTAGTTCAGTCACACGCTGATGTTCAACCTGTTTCTCAGTATATTTGTTAATCCGTAAATTGGGGCCCTTGCGTTCTTTTCTTATTCGACTCCATTCCGTGTTTAAAGGACAGCGTAAATGAGCTTACTGGAGTATATTGAACTGCCAAGTGCCTATTCAGATGGATCACCACCTTTGTTTGATCATGCTACCAGCAGAATGTTGATTAATTATGTGTGGATAAAAGGTATGGTTCAACATTATTACTACGACTCTTGAATTCTGAGCCCAAAGATAGTTCGTTGCATTGTGCACCTTTGGTGACAAAAATGGAAAGAACAGCACTGTTGAAAACTCCAAATTATACTCACGAACTGAAACTGCTAAAACGGAGTGACGCACCAATAATTAGACTGATTTAGACTGGTATACAAGACCAATCTGAGCACGAAGACCGGTTTCAGTTCCATCTGGTGGGTCCATTGAACAACCGTGTCCGAGTGGCTAGGGTCGTAGTTCGTGGCGTAAATCAGGTTTCGGGGTCAGAAAATCAAATTCTACCGAACTTGAGTGGTTTAGTCTGCGGTTACATAACTCACTAATAAAACCCACTAGGTAAAATGCTTTCAAGTTTTACTCGATGATCTCGTGTTGGAAGATAAGTCGATCGCATGGATATCATCTAGTATAGTAGGAAGAGGATACAAAATGGCATGGTTTACCTAGCTCTTCAAAAATATCATGTTGGGTAGGTAACGAACGACCGTTGCAAATGTGTGCTTCTGTGGCCTTAAAAGGAACATTATTAAACTTATACAGACAGAGCCAGCCAAGCTATTAACCGTCGCGTCGTCTAGCGCTGCCACTGTGTTTGCGATCGCTTAATCAATGAACCTAGGTCCATTTCATCCACGGTTAACGATCAGATTAAATCATTATTCAAGGACTATCGTTGTGGTTCTGGAGCTCGTAGATGTCCGCTTGAGGAAGAAGTAGAGGGAAGGACTGCAAAGACATTTTTATTACATACACTTGTGTATTGAACAGTAAACGGAGAGAACCCCATTCACGAAGACCTGTTGTTCAGATATGGAATCCGAAAACGTAAACCCCGGGACTTAGGAGTGGTGAGCCACATGACCCGGTTAGGTTAGTCGTGGTTTTGAACCGGACGGCGGCAAGGCTACCTACCAGGTAAAGATAGATAGGGATTCAGGTGGTCTAATAAATTGAGATGATTACGAAAATGGGTCACGACAACCATTATCTAACCTTCGATTACGCTGTAAGAGGTCCCCATCGGGGAAGCTTAACGCGAATAACATGTCTAAGTCCCTTATATTAGGGTTTAGTTGGACCCGCTTTGACTTCTTCCATCCACCAACGTTGACATCTCACCAGAAAATCGATTTCGTGACATGCATAACAGACGCGCGGAGCACTCTATCTGACAATCATTGCTTAACTAAGCTTGGTCTACTGCGAAATCTAGGACTTATAGGGCTTGGAGCCAGTCGCATTTTGAAGAACTAAATGTAACTGTCGATGGGTCATAGCACCAGCCAGTTCTGAAAAGAGAATCTTCGTTAGGTTGGCTCTAATGGCTGCTGGTGAGACTACGCCTTGCACAAAGAACCTCATAGACCACTTGGTGTGTCCTCTAGTACGTCGTCCATGACGAACTTGACCAGGAATGACGATACCCTTAACGAACTCCGCTGTTAGTTACGAACGACCTACAGAAGTCGCCGTAGCCTACAAGAAGTATGCGAATAAAGTGAACTCAGTATGTTCACGTACTTCTGCGGCGTTCCTGTGCGATGGAGCGAACCCTTAAAGAATTCACGATTGAGTCATCACGACGAGATGACACCTTTATGTGGTGTGACGGCATATGCACCTCTCTGACCCAACGAGCTACAAAGGATGGCTTTTGTCAAGCCGCAGATATAATGATGCCTGGGAGGTCGACGGGTAAGGATCAGACGAAGACAAGTCCCCTGGTTTTCCAGGTTGGTGGCTGGACTCGAGTTAGCGTCCCAGTTGAAATCGTAGAGAAGTAAAAGATCGAAATTAATAGGCCTCTGCTTCGCCTCAACCGCTGTCTTGCGGCTAGGTTCTTGTCAGAACTCAAGGCTTTAAACGAGAACTCGAATCGTACACCTGCTTAGGGGCTGCACACCCTGGCAGTAGCCATCCATCGAATTTGAAGGCATGCACAAACAAAAAAATATTTCGTACTGCTAACAGCCAAAGCTGAGTCTGAGATTACGGCCCTTTGTCTCCCGAGTTCATTACAGAAAGTGGTGTTCGTCTATGGAAATACCTGTTTTGAATAACGAAAAAGCTCCTTCCATCGTGAGGATGGTGGTATCGATTTGCTCGCAGGTGTTAGACCCCATGAACCAGAGTATGCAGACGACATTGTAGTTCCTAGTAAGGACCCAGGTAAGCTGAAAGCTTTTCTGGATGATCTGAGTGCTAGTGTTGCCATGTTCTGTATGCGTTTTGCGCCTTCAAGGTGCAAAATGTGGCTACGAGACCGCTTGGCCCAGCCTCACTCTAACTGGGGAAGCAGATCATTCTTGTTATTTAGGCAGCAATATCTCGCCTGGCATACGCATCACAGATGAGGTGTCAGTTCGTACAAAGAAGACTACGTTGTCATTCGCCAGCTTGAGAAAACTGTGGCGACGTCCGACTCTGTGAAGGGTAGGTATATGTCGCAGTATTTCGACCAGTATTGCTGTAAAGTGCAGAAACTTGGTCACTATAGGAACAGGTGTTCGAACACTGCTCTCTGTATCGGATTGCACGAGTCAGGATAAATAATCCTGAGGTTAGACGCAGAGTTTCAGTTAATCGCCTCATGCACCCCATGAGATAAGCGGAACGTGGACGGGACAGCACTTTATTGGCTGAGGCTGCCGAGCTTGAGCGGGTGGTAGCTGTTCAATGAAGTGCGAAGACTTATTTCACCGTCGAGAGGAAGCTTCAGGTACCTCACTTCTACGTCCATCTACCTGATTGAGCTGAGCTGAAGGCTACCAGGCGCGACNGCGCGACCCGGGTTGTTGACAGACGGATGCGTTCACCGAAGAAGGTTAGTGGTGAATAAGTTATGTCATACCGCAACAAATGAGCAGTCGCGAAAAAACAGTGGCGGCACTACCAGGATGTGATTTAGGCTGGTCACCTGGCTCCTGTCAAAAAGCAGCATAAGCCCAATGATGGTGTCATTGACTCCTTCCGAGGCGAGGGATTACTTCCTGCTGCCTTGCAGTTCGCACTTCGTAGTGCAAAGTCTAAAGGTGCGTCCTCAAAATTAAAAACGCCGAGTGACGCTGGGAACGTCTCTCGAACCAAACTCCCAAGGAACTTGATGACTGTCTTCTACGGCGGCAATCAGACATTCATGGAGCGGGCTTATCCTTTCCTAGGAGCCAGCCGGTAAAGTTAAGTCAGTTCATCTAGCAGGGGGTTTGATCGGTAAACCCGTACCGTGTTCATTTGCTGGAGTGACCTCTCCAGGCGGATTTCGATAAAAGAAAGCCAGGAGGAACCGAAGCAGCTGGCTTTGTGAGACCGAGCTTCGTATGATCTCTACCCGTTGATTTTTCAGGCATGACTGGATCCACGGCTGTGAAAATCTTGTGTAGCTCGCAGGGTCATGCAGGAACGCAAGCCACCACACCCCGTCAAGGTGTAATGTCGCCGTGATGGCGTAACAACGTGAGAGGACAAAAGCAGACAGCCGGGTTGGTGAATTACTGGTAGTTCACCTAGGGGAGTTGGCCAAAAATCGATTCTAAACCAACCAAGAGGAGTACGAACCATACAAGCCAAAAATTTCCTGGTTGTGGCAGTGGGCTCTGGTTTGATTGGGCACCTTGGACGTTTGACCCCATCCAAAGGGCGTATGATGCGAGGACAGCAGCCTACAATGGATTGGGGTTTCCACACACCGCACGCCTGGCTTGCGAGTCAGGCTTCGGCTAGCCAAAAGTTCCGATTGTGGACTCACGAAAATTCACCTGCCTTGGCCTAGAGAACCTCGTTGTATTTCGCCCACATACAAATAATGGAGCGTTTTTCTATTCGATTAAGATTTGTTTGGCGCAGTGTGGAGTCAGACGTGTGAAAATTAAAAATATAATATATACATATACAACGTTGACATGCCTCAGCAGCCTTCCTTTTCGAAGTGAGTCCACTTGGGCTCTGTGGCCCACTGAATCGAAGGTTTCTTCTAGGTCGAGAAACTGTAACCATTGTCTGATCTGGAGTATGCGGATGACATTGTGCTACTAAGGGATGTTACAAGCTGTTCTGGAAAGTTTGAGTGCTAGTGTAGCCATGTTCGGTATGCGCTTTGCACCTTCAAAATGTCAAATGCTACTACAAGATTGGGTTGGTTCAGCACTCAGTCTCACCCTAACTGGGGAAGTAGTAGAGGAAGTAGGCAAATTTTGCTATCTAGGCAGGGATATCTCACCTGGCGGACGTATCACAGATGAAGTGTCGGCTCGCATACAAAAGGCTCGATTGGCATTTGCCAACTTGAGACATTTGTGGCGCCGTCGCGACATCCGGCTGTCCGTGAAGGTTCGAGTGTATGCTGCAGCAGTTCGGCCAGTCCTGCTGTACGGTGTAGAGACT